GTTGAAGAAAGCTGATGTTCTGTACCAGAGAGAATTAATCGATTAAATTAGGAATTTTAATCGATTAAAGTGTACAGAAGCGAAAAGCCTGAAAAGAAAACTGAATCATAATCGATTAAATGAAGACAAATAATCGATTAGGAGGTTCGGTACTAACTAATCGATTAATGGAGGAAAAATAATCGATTATTGATCAAGGCTGAGCAGCCCAACGAAAGGCTTAAAAATCGATTAAATTGAAGCAATAAATCGATTAGGAGGTTCTGTCCAAGCTAATCGATTTTTTTAATAGAAAAAATCGATTAAGAATTCAAACCTGAGAAATTGCGCTGGATCTAATCGATTATTTTAAAGGATATAATCGATTAAAATGAAAATAATGCGCAAACACAAAGGGCCCAAACCAAGTGCGATTGGAAGCACTTTGGCTTCTAACTCGTTGTTTGGGACAACGAGAATAAAGCACGCTCCTTTCTCCCTATTCAATGAATTTGAGTATGGGAGAGAAAAAGAGAGTCCAAAAAATTATTTTGTGTGTCAAACAATACACGAAAAAATATTTAAAGTATATTTTTCTCACCAAAGAAAATTGTGTAACTTAAAAGAAATTTTGACACACTTGTTTTGAAACTGACTCACTAAAATATTTTAGACAGAGAAAAAATGATTTTTCAACTGACTCAAAAATAATTTTTTCCCTGAGAAATTAAATTGTTTTGTGCAAAAGATATTGTCATCCTTACAAGAATCCTAGACTCAATAAAAATTAAAAAGTCTTCGGAGTCTTCACATCACTTCAAAAAACTCTGTGGGGGGAGCGTTGATTTTTATCCCGTAACTTTCTTGATACGCCTCTTTTCTTTTCTCGGTACGAAAAGTAAATTTTCGATCATCGTTTGAATTCATCATCATGTTTTTCATTTATCAAAACAAGAAAATATTCCATAAAAAATAATAAAGGGGTTTGAACTCATGTCCAACAGACCTTAAAAATAAAATTAAGGCAATGAATGAAGCTTCCTCTTCTATTGACCATAGTTCTACTTGTTCTTCTTTTGAGTCTTTAAAGTTAGAGAGTATAGAACTTAGAGACACTATAGAAAAACTTAAGGTAGATGAGCCTAAGAAAAATATTAAAGAGGTTAAGAAAAATAGACTATCTAAAAGAAATAATAATCCTAAGAATAACAAAATTAATTTAAGGAATAATAAGAATAATCTTAGACAACCTAGAAATGACCAGTATACATCGATGTGTTCTTTCAATTCTCTCTTTTATTTCTGATGCACTTTCATTTATTTTATAATCCTACGAAAAACGGTTAACATTCTCAACAAATCTATTCACCCCCCTCTAGAGTTGCACACATTGTCTAACACGAGACACCACTTAATATGGTGGATGGAAACCTGAGGGCCAGAGTATTCAAAAGGTTGTCCCTGTGAGCGAGAGGCTGGGACGAAATCCAAGAAAGGCTCTTGTCGGATGGGAGGAACTACGAGCTAGCCAGATGGAGTCATCCAACCATGCACCACATTCCCAAGCATGTCTTTGGGGAATGCGAATGATCCCGAGGAACTGTATAATTGTTGATAACGAGGAGAAGGTGCAAAGCCAGCAAGCTCTTTACCATAAAATTGGGCGATCTTGCTTTATTGTTATGTAGCAACAGAAGCCCGCTCATGCTGCTTCGACGGTGCTTTTTCGCCTTCTCTATGCTCTGGACAGGAGAGGAAGCCACTCGACTGATATGGAGAGGAGAGCTAGTGGACACGGGGAGGGAGTGTGTCATTCGTAAGGGTCCCAGCTCAGCAACGTTTAAGACCAGTAGCTCAGGAGTTAGAAAGTATCAGCAGATCCTAGACATGCAACGCAAGGTTAATCGTGGGTGAGTGTGAAAGGTAACCATGCAAGGATATGCAGCGGAATATAAAATTTTTTAACATCCTAACATGATTATCTTGCCCAGAATCACGTACTAAAACTTATAGTAGTAAGAAATTTATAACTTTCTCCATAAGCGGTAAAAACGAAGAAGTCGTAGGAAGAGCGTTGAAAGTGCAAACGTAACCGTTCAAGCGTCCGGTCTCCAACTTTGACACACGAACAACGCCGGAGTCTATCACAATCTTTATGCTAGTAAAGATTATAGTAGTATAAAATATAAAGATTAAAATTGGGATAATAATAATCTTGTATATTTCTATAGAAAATATTTCTAATAATATTTAGAAAATATTATAGATATTTTCTATACACAAAATGATATTAATGGAACACAAAATAAACTTTCTCTCTCTAAGAAATTTATGGCCGAAAACCACACCCCAATTTGATAATTTACACTCTCCCTTTATAATTGTCATGTTTTCAACAAATGATTTGTCAATTTTGTCATTAAGCTAAAAGATAAAGTAATGAACAATTAATCAAGGATTATGGACAAAGTGAGATCCCAATTAGCCGTATGTTTTGATTTGAGAAAGTGAGAAGGATTTTCAAAATTCTTCTCCACT